ATGGTACACTTGCACCTCAGTATACAGAGGGTGAACTCTTCTGTTATTTGCCATTACACATCCCCACTAACCTTCCTGTGCATATCAATGGAGGATTTGCTCTTTCATCAGACAGACGTGGTCTTCCTACACATATAAAAACTGATTTGAACAAATCAATTGAAATTCGTTGGAATGATGTACTCATGAAAGATGTTATCAGTGAATCCTACACTAAATTGCTGCAGATGTTACTTGAGAGTGGCAAACTAAATAAGAGCAGCTATGATTATTCACAATGGCCCACTACACAGTGTGTCTCTCAATACTCTGCAGTGATACAGGGTTTCTATGAGAGAGTTTTAGGATGCAAACTGGCCAAAGTGTTCCCAAACTGTTTCTTCAAGACCCATTTTTGAATGGAGATGAACACTTGGATATAAATAATTCATGCATATTAGATCCAAGTTTGAGAAAGGAATTAAATTGGAAAATTAGCATTGGAAGTTGTGAATCAGCAACTAAATAGAGATGATTCACCATTGAGAACAGTAGATCTTTCACAACAAGTGCTTGATACATTTCACCAACTAAATAATCAGGCGAAGATAGATCAAATCACAGTTTCAGAGGAGGAATTCTATAAGAAATACCTGTTTCCAAACTTACGAATTCTTCATAATGTAAGAGATGATTTTGTTCTTGATATCCTATTACAATCGAAATGGAAATCAAGAAAATATTTGAAAGATCTCCTACAATCCCAGCCATGTATCCCTACATCTACACAAAACCATACTCTGTCAAAAGTAAGGGATCTTATTGATCCAACGTCCAAGCTTGCAATACTTTATGAGGAAAGTGATATGCGATTCCCATGTGGGGAACAATATGAAACAGAAGAGTGTTTGTCTAAGCTGTATGAAGTTGGAATGGCTCGATATCATATAGAATGGGAAGATGTCATTGAACGTGCACAATCTATAAAAACACAATATATGCTTGATCATTCAAGGGGATTATTGCGAGTAACAGCCTTGATTAAATACCTTGAAGACAAATATAGATTCTCAGTATGCCCACAAGAAGTGTGCGAGAAGTTACAAGTGATTCGATTTCTTCCAATTATGAAGAAACCAACTCAATACAGTTTACCCTGGTACAGCACTACTGTAGACCTTGATTCCCCAAGTGTGCTATATGCAAGTAGCTGCAGACACCTGGTTAGTGTAGTTAAACCTGTCGTCAATGAAATGACCGCAGCAGAAGGTGGATGTGGAAAAATATCTCAGAGTGTTAGATCACTTCTTAAACTCAACATACATCCTCCTATTGATATAGTTATTAAGCAATTATTTGCAATTGCTAATCATGGTTACATTGAAGGAACAACATCTGAAATATGTTACAAGATATATAAATTTCTATCAGACAAAGTGCAGACCCAGAATTGGGAGATAACAGAGAAATTAACAGCAAGCAATACCCCTTTTCTGTTAACATGTGAATCATTTGTGCTTCCAAAACAGATGTCCTTCAGTCTGGATATTGGCTGTGAACCTTACTTATATCGTGTAACTGATTCTCTAAAGCCTTTCTTAGTGCTTCTAAAGGCTTGTGGAGTCAGGGAAAACTTTGATGTGCTTGATTATGTCAATGCAATAAAGGCATTGGCCAAGGACAGACAACTCATGAAACTGGAACA